CGGGGGAGGAAAGGCAGGGAGAGAAAGACATAATCAAGTCTCTCAGGACGCTGCCTCCTGTTTCCACCAATCTTCTCCTTGCTCAGGTACTACACAAACTAGCGAAGCAAGAGATGGGGCGGGGGAATAGTGGTGATGACTGGTCCAACTTGAGTGACAAAGAAGCAAGTGTGGGCTGAGGGGTCAGGAGTTGTTGTAGGAAGTGGTGGTGGCAGTGGCTTCTGGCCACTGGGCCCACTGACCCTCCTGCCCACTTACTCGGGTCACCCTGGGGGGTGCTCTTCTCCACGAGCTTCTCCAGGGCCTGCTTCGCACATCTCTGCAATATCTGGGCACAGATCACCTCGGGGCCCTCTGCCAGCTGGTAAATGAGGGTCACAGCCACCTCTTTGAAGGGGATCCAGAGTGGGTCTGGGTGGACAAAGCCTGCACAGGAGAAGAGAGAAGTTGCCCACCACAGACAAAGGACTCAGTTCTGCCCAAGGCCCTTCGTGATGGCTCACCTTTTGTGACCATCTCCTGTAGTCGCTCAAATAACCTATGTTCCTGCGGCAGCCGGAAGGGAGGGTGACGTTTGCCCAGGGAAGGCTGTTGGGAACAGAAAGACAGCGTGTGGGTGTGTAGAGGTGGATAAAAGGACACCCCCCCCCCCCCCCCGCCCGCCAACTCCTTAGTTTGGATGTAGCCACCCTACATACCTTTCTCCTGTCAGAGATGTTGGCAATGGCAAGGCACACCTGCTGGGCCAGCCTGTAGTCCTGTGGAAACTTCTCTTCCAGCCCTATGCTCACCAGTGTGTCTAAGTTGCTACCCACAATTTCTGGTTTTCCTCTAGGGGAAGAAACCATAGTTAAAGCTAGTCACAGACAGGACTCTGTGGGACAAAGCCGGGGTAGGTAGGTACCTATGCCCACACAGGGCTTCCAGAGCCTAGCAACACTACAGAGGCTCTGACCCAGGCCGCCCCTCGGAATCCCTCTTTCTCTACCAATGCCACTATTTCTCCAGGCAGGGGGTGCTGGTACTTTCACTATCTTATTTTCCATGTAGGTAGCCAGCTCAAACAGGGCTCAGCGGGGCTTAACTACTATTACTGAAGGATAGAGCGCCTTCTCAGAACCTCCCTTTCCTCTCTCACCTGACTGCCCGTCTGGATTTGAGCCTTACCGTGACATCATTCCAAGAAGCATGACGGAGGAACAGCGCTCCAGCGGGGAGCAGGGGACCTTCTCAGTTGCCCGCTCCCAAAGCAGCTGGGTCACTGCCGGTTTCAATTCATCCTTCTGCACAAACTCACAGAGCTGAAGAGAAAAAAAACGGCTGAGGGTAAAAGGTAACAATTGCCCTGGTCCTTGGTCCACTTCTCTGCAGAGAATATGGAGAACCTGAGGTGGGGAAAAGCAATACTCCGGAATGGAAATGGAAGGAGGAGGCTCAAAACGTAAAGTAGTTTGGGGAGGTACTTCCTGTTCTGCTACTTTTCTACTCTCATGTCATCAAAACTACGTTCATTAGGATGACACACGGAAGCTGACCTTGTTGAGCTCCATGTGCTCTATAGTTCTGACTACTTTCTAGCTGTTACTACAAACCCAACATGTCTAAAATGGAAGCCTTCCTTGCCTTTTCATTTTGCCAGTGATTGGTACCAATACTCTCTTAGTCCCATATGCTTAAAATTTCAGTTATCTAATTTTTAAAAATTTATTTTTTATTGACTTCAGAGAGGAAGGGAGAGGGAGAGAGATAGAAACATCAATGATGAGAGCGAATCATTGATTGGCTGCCTCCTGCACGCCTCCTACTGGGGATCGAGCCCGCAACCCGGGCAATGGGCCCGGGACCGGAATTGAACCTGGGGCCCTTCAGTCTGTAGGCTGACGCTCTATCCACTAAGCCAAACCAGCCAGGGCAGTTACCTAATTTTTTATTAACCAGTCACTTAGTCCTACCTATTCTTCAACATTTGTCTTCCAAAGTTCAATTCTATAGCTTTCCCTCCCACTCCCAGGGCCTAGCCCTACCTTGTCACTGTACACCAAAACAGCCTCCAGGGACCTTCCTGTCCCTCATCTCTGCTCCAACCAACTTGAATGTTGTATGCTACTGTTGGACCGTCTCCACTTCCTAATGCCACACCATGGCTGCCAATTAGAAGGCTCTCTCCTTTGCCTACTTTAGGGGCTTGGACCAAGAGCTAGAACATGGGCTCTCGGGCCAGTTGCCACCACCAGGCTCTTTTCCTCTTCCAGCAGGGAGACAAACGTGCTGGCAGGAGTGCTCCTGCCAGTGGAAGCTGGTGGTCCGCACCACCTCCACCCTTTGTCCCCACAATCCAAATGCTTCAGGGCAGACTTGTCTAAAATGCTGGGGTCCCTGGCTAACAAGATTAAAGTCCTAGACTCTGGAAAGGCATCCAGGGACTTTCACAGTTTTGTTTCAACTCACACCCCAGCTTTATCATCTTTTCCAGATAACAATTTTGAGCCGGAACATTATCTTCCTCATTTTACAACATAGACTGTGCCCTTTCTTGGCTTTCTGTCTGGAAGGCTTCCCTCCTTTTTCTAATTCTCTAAATCCTACTCATCAAGACCCAACTTGAGTCCTACTGCCTTCAGGAAGCTTTCCTTGCCCATTCCACCTCACACTGCTCTGTCCCACTCTGCATTCATCAGTGTAACATATAAGTTATGAGTGTGTTTTCTGGAGCTCTTCTGCCTGAGTTCAAATCTCAAACTTTGCCGCTAATTAGCTTTATATAGCCAAGTTCTTTCATTTCTTTGTGACTCAGATTTCTCATTGTAAAATATAGATAATAGAATTACCACACAGGATTGCTGTGAGGATAAAACACGTTAATATGAGTAAAGTGTTAATAATGCTTAGAATATACAGTGTTATTATATTACTACTAGAGGCCCAGTGCATGAAATCGTGCGTGAGTAGAGTCCCTAGGCCTAGCCTGCGATTGGGGCCATGTCCCCGCCCCTCCGTGACACCCTGCTCCGCGATGATTGCCGCCGAAGCCCCGCAAAGCTCCGTCAGGCTCACTGCTGCCCACCGAAGCTCAACAGTCCCCAATCATTGTCCCCACCCCCCAACCCCCTCCCGTTCGCTGTGGTTCCCTGTTTGCCATGCTGCGATTGGAGCCTGCGGGACGGGGGCAGTGGGGAGGGACCGAGAAGTGGTCAATGCACCTCATGGTGACTGGTCGAGCAGTCGTTCTGGTCGTTCCGCTTATGGTCCTGCCCTTTTATTATATACGATTGCTACTATAACCATTGCCTCGGCTGCATATTTGACAAGTGGTTTATGTATTTTGGCTACTAACTAGACTGTTGGTTCTTTTTAATTTGGAAACTTAGAAGCAAATAGTCTTATCCTTTGTGGGGCTGAATAAGTTGCTGAACACACAGTAATCACTAATACCTGTTGAATGAATAAAGAGGAAGTGAGGGGACTTACAATTTCCTCAAGACATTGAATTGTCCCAACTGAGGCATCCACTAGCAGCAAAGAGAGATTCTGAATCAAAACCTGGGCCTTGGCTCTGGGGGAAGAACAAAGATTAGGGGTCATTAGAAGACTGATCACCGAATCTTGTAAACAGGTGATTAGGGCTACTAGCACCCCCGCACCCCAGGGCCAATAGTGCTTAGGGTGGGTTTTACTGAAAGGTCAGCCCCACTCTGAGCCCCACTCCGAGCCCACTCTATAGACCTACTGCTTACACATTCAGAACTCCTCTAGAAGGATGCCCCCCAATTCTCAGGAGACTAGAAATATTGAGAAGCTCACCTTAGAAAAGTCAGCAAAGGCAAAAGTACCCCATATACCTGGCAGAGTCCCCTTTGGGGTTGAGGTAAAGTTGGTGGTAGGCATTAAGCACAGCTTCCCGGATACCAGGCTCCTTAGACCAGATGAGAGGCAGCATGCGGCGTACCCCAAACAGGGCCTGAGGTACCCCAAATTGGAATGCCATCACAAAGAATTCAATCACCTCCTGTACCACTGAGAGAACACACGAATGTCACCCATGTGCTTGGCAAAACTGTCTTCCTCCAAAATCAAGACAGAACTTTCTTGATGTAGCAACACACAAGGAGACCTTCCTCATTTTCCCTGAGACTGTTGTCTCCTATAATGCCTTATCATGAAATACCACATGCAGTAAAAAAGGTGAGCTCCATGAGGCTATACAAAGCAAACAAAAAAAGGATTCCTTATATATAGCAAACAACCAAAAAAAAGGATTTTTTTAAAAAAATTGATTTTGAGAGAGAGGAAGGAAGAGGGAGATAAAGAAACATCAATGTAAGGGTGAAACATTGATCAGGTGCCTCCTGCACACCCCCTACCTGGGATTGAGCCTGAAACCTGGGCATATGCCCTCCCGGAATCCAACCGGCAACCTTTTGGTATATAGGATGATGCCCAAACAACTGAGCCACACTGGCCAGGGCAAGAATTCCTTCCTTCCTTTTATTTGTTAATTTAAAATATGTTTTTATTAATTTGAGAGAGGGGAAGAGAGTGGTAGGGATAAAAACATAAACGATGAGAGACAATTTTCAATCAGCTGTCTCTTGCACACCCCGCAAACGGGATTGAGCCCACAACCCGGGCAATGTGCCCCAACCGGAATGAACTGTAACCTCCTGGTTTATGGGTCAACGCTCAATCACTGAGCCACACAGGCTGGGCAAGGATTCCTTTCTTTTAAAGGAGCAGCTAGGTATCAACAATATATGGACAAGACTGATTTTTCCAACCTCAAGACCCATCCTTACAGAAAGGAACTTGGTATACCACACCTGTGGTTGTGTTTTCATACATCATCTTGCTGATGATGCCAATGGCCTCTGTAATCTTCAGAGAGAAGTTATAGGCATCCTGCAGATACTGCACCAGCATCTCTTGCTTCACCAGTTCATCCTTTCCCTTGGATTTCTCAAGCTCTGACACACTGGGATTGTCTTTATAGTCAGTCTGTCCTGGGCCCATGTTCTCTGCAGATGCCGGGGGACTCTTCTCCTGTGTGGAAGCTGATGCACCTACGAGTTAGAGCATGTTCAAGATGAGGAAATTCAACATCTATAACATCCTGGATATTTCTTTTCACAATAAAAGGTACAAGTTTAGAACCTATTCTAAAATATTAGTTCATTTCTCAAAAAAAGATTCCTGAAGTTCTCAGTGGTTTGGAAATACCCTTTCACAGCCTGTGACTATCAATCTTGACCTTGGGTACCTCCATTACAGAGCAGAAGCATTGCCAACTCCCCTTGGGTCTCTTTCAGCACCAGGTTCTGTTAGGTAGGCCCATGTCTGGCATAAAGTAAATGGTCCATGAACACTAGTTGAAATGTTCTGTTTGTTGACGGAAGAAAGGGAATTACCTTTAAAAATAGTTCCTAAGAGATTCAGAAATCTGGTCTCCTCCGACTCCTCTGGGTCCATATGATTGAAGGGTTCAGACTCCTGGAAGTGGCTTAGGGCTTCTCGAGTGAGAATGATGGCCTGCCTAAAAGAACATCAACTGTCACCAACTTAGCACCCATAAAAGCATCACTGCAGCCTTTTGAAAAAAAAAAAAAAAAAAAAAAAGTATAATTGACATACAAGAGTGTCACTGTAGACTTAAGGAAGCTACATGATAATCTCATCAAGCACCTAGACCTACTGTCCCAAGGAAAAGGAGCGCTTCTCACACTGATGCATATAAGAAGGGGTGGAGCTCAAACACTTATTTCTGAAGTGATAAGGCTTAACTATAGTCTTCAAAACACTCAAATAAGGCCTTTGAATTTTAAAAATCACAAACATCTGTTTAAAAATTTTGCCAAGAGAAAATGTGGAAAAAATTAACTTTCAATACAATGGGATTATATGTAGCCACATTTTATTCATATTTAGCCCTTTTTGAACAGCCTAATTAAGTAAGAAGTAAATAAATAACTGTGGCCAAGGTTTAAGAATACCTGATGACAGCTCTAAGGTCTGTTTCTGCAAAGCTGCTTCAAAGTTCTTGTGGTCTCTGCTGGAAGCAGCAGATGGATGTTTCCCTCTTGGTCAGGGCACATACTTATATTTACAGGTTTTCTCCTCAAAGAGGGACTTTTGTTATCTTTAATACAATGCTATTTATATTTAGTAATTTTAGTAGTTTAGTAGTTTCTCTTAAGCATTTGTAAAAGTCCAACAGTAGCCTGAGCCAGTTTGGCTCACTGCATAGTGTCAGCCTGAGGGTCCCGGGTTTGATTCTGGTCAAGGGTACATAGCTCGGTTGCAGGCTCCTCCCTGGCCCAGGTCCTGAAGGGCCTGTGCAGAGGGCAACCAATGGATGCCTTTCTCTCACATTGGTATTTCTTCTGTCTTTCCCTCTCTCTTCCACTCTCTAAAAATCAGTGGAAAAATATCCTCAGTGAGGATTAAAAAAAAGTCAAAAAAGCATGCTTAATTGTGGACTATGCCTTTGGTATAAATCTGATGTTCAGACCATTACTACAGTGAAAACACGTAACATCACCTGGTGGCAGCATACTCTAAGTACAGCTCATTTTAAAGAAACATTGTTTCTCGAAGGTTAAACACTAAACCTAAACAGGCCATTAGAGAATATCTCATTCTTCACATACTTGTAACTAGCTTTGGCAAGTAACTGACGGATGCGTCCTTTCACCTCTTCTGTGGTCTCTGTAGTAGCAATTTTTTCAGGAATCTCCTCTTCTTCCTGGGGAGGTGTGAGCAGCTGTTGTAAGGTAGACTTCAACTCCGGCAGCATGGCTTCCCACTCCTCCTCGGGGTCCAGCACTGCGGCTGAATGAGAAAGTCTCACTTAGGCTCTTTCACTGGTGTTTCTGCTGCAGGGAGGACTGTCTGGGGTGGGATTCCTACGCATTAACTCACAAGCAACTGCAGTTTGCCTCTGCGCCCTCATCTCTTGTAATTTCTGGGTTTCCTTCTGCAGCGGTCCAGCAAGGTCAGTATCGCTAAGCTATCAAGGTAAAATGAGCATCAGGGTCACCAAGTCACAGAATTCCATCCCCTGTTCCCTTTAATCCCTTCTCTTTTGGATGGCCCAACTCTACTTACCTTGCAGGAAAAGGGATTATTGGTGAGAAAACTGGCCAGCAGCTGGATAGCGTTTTTACAAACTAGCACTGACTTGTCTGCCAGACGGCCGACTGCCAAGGCCACCACTGCCTGGAATCGTGTCAGGGGGAGAGCCTATGTGGGATACAAAAAGAATCAGCTCACATCCCACATCATCCTTTCTGCTCAAGATGTTCTTGAAGTAACTTTAAATGAGCTACCTATTCATTCCTATTTATATCTGTGGGATATAAAATAATTAAGGAGTACTCTTTGCAGTGGTTAAGACACAGTACAGTCCTTAAATGGAGCCAGACATCCTAGGATGCCCTTTGGTAGACAAAGACCTTTATTACTGGCAGTAACCACCTGAATTCTAGACTCTTGTTTGGGACAGATTTTTTTTTTTTTTTTGACACTGATTCCTCTTTTCTCTGGCCTATACACTGAATGGTACCATGTATCTTTATTAGGTAGAAGGCTGTTCACCTTCTGCTGGACGATTCGGGTGAAGAGTTGCAAAACACGGCTTCGTACAAAGGAATTGACATCATGGCCATGGGCTTGCAGGGTGTCCAAGAACTGGTCTCTGGTGTCTCGGGCTGCTTCCTCCAGCTGATCACCATTCAGAACCTGCAGTATCATCTCTGCCATGGCTGCGAGCACAGCATTGCGCATCATGTAATTCTGAGAGAGAAATGAAGTTGGTATAAGCCTCTGCATCACTACTCACTTTCCCTTTCCTAATTCTTAAGCCTGTCCAGGCACTCAGAAGGGGCAAGGCCCTTTAGTCAAGGTTAAACTTGCTTGTCTTAGCTATAACTTTCCCTGGAAAAAGCTGAATCCCAGAGGAGCTTTGTTTGCTCAAAGAAGAATGTAGAGATAAAATAAACAAGAGCCAAAAACCATTCCCCCCCCTAAGGTTCATCCAGGTAATCATGGTGGTAGCCAAATATGAAATTGAATCTACCCACCAATATACATTTGAAAAGCATTAATGACTACCTTTCACCACCTTTGATCCTTACTAATAAATACGCCCTTTCCTCCCACTCCCCTATTTTACTGACAGAAAAGGAAACACAGAGAAATAGAAATCAGTCCTATAGTGCCAGCAAGTCCATTACAGAATCTGGTAGAGAAGAGGGTTTAGGGTTATTTTCTAGGCCAAGAGCCAGAGAAGGGGGTCTTGCACAAGAAGTTAACAATAAATTAGATGAACAAGTGGGCCGTCTTTGTCCTTGATATTATTCACCTAGGAGTGCCCTGCATTAGTTTGGGAAATGACCAGGTTGGCATTCAGGGACAGAAGAGAATTGAGCCAGGCTGGTATGGCTCACTGGTTGAATGTCGACCTATGAACCAGAGGTCATGATTTGATGCCTAATTTTGGGCTCAACCCCCTAGTACAGGAGGCAGACAATCAATGATTCTCTCTCGCCATTGATGTTTTTTCTCTCTCCCTCCCCTTCCTCTCTGAAATCAATTAAAAAAATATATATATATATGTATGTGTATATTTCTAAAAAGAGAGAATTGAGAGAGATGACATGGGTTGATTGGAGAAAGTTTACTGTATTGAGGAAGAAAGGCAAGCCAGATGGTAGGAAGAAGCTTCATCCTGATAAAGAAACGGATGGGATTCAGAATCACAGCTGTCACTCTCTCTGAACTTAAGCTGTGGAACTGTCACCTCCCCTACCAGACCTAGAGAACACCAATGTGACACTGAAATAGGCTCTTTATTCAATAAACTTTATCTGCCTCTCTACAGGAAGGAAGTGCCACAGTGATAAGGCCAGACAACTCGACTTCATGTGAAAGCTACCTCCTTGGTAAAAAAACATACATAAATCCCCAGAAAACCTGAGATCCCCAGTGTACCACCTACCTCGCCATCCAGGTGATCTAGCAAAATGCACATGCTGGACATCAGGATGGCTGGGATACGTTCTGCTAGTTCTGTCAAGAAGGCTGCAAAGCCCTTTGCCCCTGTAGGGTCCCGACTCAGTTCCTGGGGACACTTCTGTCCAATCTCTCTATGCAGGAAAGAAAACAGCCACAGCAAGATACTCAATTCCCAGTAAGAGGAGGTAAGACTGGTATCTAATAGCTGAAGGAATCTAGTATTGCACAGAGAATATACTGTATTTCTAATCTTTCCTTATGTTCTCCCTGAGAGAAATGAGAACTAGAAACGTAGAAGCAAAGAGTTACCTTACAATCTCTCCCACTATGCTCTTCATTCCATAATCAGTGGCCCACAGACTCACAGCTGCCACCAGTACAGGTGCCAGGTGTTCAAAGTGCTGCAGCATCTGGATGATTTTCACTGTGGCACCTGTGGAAGTACTAAACATGAGGAATTATGGGCAAAATGAAAAGGATAGGGGCACAGTGAAGGGCTAACTTACTGAGCATATGGTTGTAATGTGTCAAGGCGACACCAAGCAGGCGTGTTATGGCTTCCCGGGTAGAGCGGTTCTTCTGGTGACTAATGGTGGGGTTCTCCAGAAGGCGGTAACAGCAACCAGTAACCAAACTGAGAAAGGAACAAAGTGAGATGACGAAATCTGGAGTCAATTGTATTGGGGTCTGCCTCATTCATTCTATTTCTACTGCCACCAAAGTCAGGGTCTTCTAGTTTTCTTCATTTATCTACCACCTTCCATACCAAGTTGCTTTGCTGACCTCAGATAGGTACTTGGTCCTTTGAGATTACCAACCTTAAACCAGTTAGGATGCCTGTACAGAACCTGAATACAGGGGTGCACAAAAGTCCGGTTTACAGTTGTGAGTATGTGAAAGAGTTTATTCGTGTATTATTTATTATTGCACTATTTACCATACAAACAACTATACACCTACTTTGCCCACCCCTGTATATGATAAAAGATAGGACAAAATCACCAGTGACTTCTCATTGTTAAACATAAGTCAATTCAGTCCTTAGCTTAATCAACTTTTCAGCTCCATTTGACATAGTTGGTCACTCCTTTCTCCAAAAGAAACATGCTTCATATGGCTTCTAGAATGCCAGTCTCCTCTCAGTTTCTTTGTCTGATACCTCCTCATCACCCCACCTTCTTAATGCTGAAGTATCCCAGGGTATAGTCTTTGGATTTCTGCTCTATTGTGGCTACTTACTGATTAATAATCTCCTTCAGTCTTACGGCTATAAAAACATATATTCCCAAATGTGTACCTCTAGGCCACACCTCTTTCCTGTGCTCCAGATCTGTACATTCCCCATCTGAATCTGACATTATTTGGATATCTAATAAGCACCTCAAACTCTGTATGTTTAAAACAAAACTTCTAATGGTCTTCCCCAAAACATACCCCCATAGCCTTCCCCATGTTTCAGTTACAGACAATTCCATTTTCCAAATGCTCCGATTTCGTCATCCTCCCTCAAACCTCACACACATCTGTCACCTCATCTTGTAAGCTCTACCCTTAAGAAAATAAAGTATGAACTACAACCACTTCTCTTTATCTCCACTAACACTCTCTGGTCTAAATTATCATCATCTCTTTCCCAAGTTACTGCAATAGCCTCCGAACTGGTCTTCCACTTCTTTCCCTCCATAGTCTGTTTCAGCACAACAGCCAAGATGGCCCTGTTAAAGACCGAGAAAAGAACACCCGTTTCCCTGCTCGGAACCCTTGAGGGATCCCACCTCACTCTAAGAAATGCCAATTACCATGAAGACCTATAAGCATCTGCAGTTTGGCTCCCCCATGCCCGCCCTGACCTATAACCTATCCCTCTCTCTGGCCTCATTGCTAGTCCTTGTACACGCTGGACACGCTCCCTCCTCAGGGTCCTTGCCCTCTCATGGCTCTGATGACTTCCTCGGGGTCTTTGCTCAAATGTCACTGAGTCAGAGATCTTGCCAGAATGACTGAATTAAAATCACAACCTTCTTCCATTAAATGCTCCCCCGCCCCATTTTTCTCCATAGTAATAAACCATAAAATATACTATATATTCGTATTTTAAAAATTGGCTTCTGCTCTATAAAATAAACTGAGGGCAAAAATTTTTGTTTCTGGTGCCTATAATGATACCAACTATGCACTTAGGAGATTCTCAGTAAATAATGTTTCATGAATGAATACATGGATATTAAAGACGAGAAATTAGAAAAAAAAGATGGGAAATTCACAGCAGTTTCTAACATTCATTATCTACTTCCTAATAACTTAATGTTTTGAGTATATTTCTAGTATATTACAGATATAACTGAGGCATGAAATGAAGTATTTACAAGGTAGGTCCAGCAAAAGAGCCCTCATCCACATAGCTCAGTATCATCTGTAGTCGCTCTACCTGCCTACCTGACAAATTCCTCTTCAATTATTGAGTGGTTCCATAGGTGACGAATGTCCAACTGGAGCAGCTGTGTTAAAAGCTGAAGAATTGGTTGCCTCTCTTCTTCCCAGTCAAAGCCATGGGCTGACTTGGCCCTGGCTTTCTTGCCCTAAAAAAAGATCATGTATACATTTAGGAAAAAAATAAGGAAAAAAGTAAAGATCTGCTAGTCTGAGTGCCTAAGCTAACCAGTATCGAGACAAGATAGAAGGTAATACACAAGAGACATAAGTTCCAAAATACAGAAAAGCTGATTGTCACGGAAGGGTATGTTGTGATACTTTTGAGCATAAACCCGAAATAAGAACAGAAAGGAGTTTCAGAATCATTGGCTTTCCTTCTTTCCTATCAATTCACCCATCCTTCCTATTAAATGAGCCAGGAACTCCAAGTTACCTTCCCACCAAGGTCCAGGTCCACGAGATTCGTCTGGGTGGTCATAGTCTCAAAGGATTCCAAGAGGCGTACCAGAGCATAGCAGTTCATTTTGAGGGCATTAAGGTGGGCGCTTCTATCTGATACACTCAAAGTTGCATCATCGAGGACAGCTGGAAGTTCCTGAGCGTGGCGGGATACCACTGCCAGGGTCAGAATCGGAGTCAGTTTCATTCCCTTTCCTCATAGTACCCCAACCTCCAAACACCCTGCACGCGCAGCCATCAGATTACCAAAGATCTGTGTTTCATTTCTCAGTGGCCACAACACCAGCTAAGTCCTTTGGGACCCTTGACCCTGATACCATGAACATGCCTTGTCCCTCCCTACTCACTCCAGTTACCACAATTTCTTCCTGGCAACTGGGAAGAAATATCTCCATGAAAGAGAGATAGTTCAAAAGCAGGAAGAATTTCTTGTTGGTCTGCCCTTACAGTGAACACACATAACTCTGTATTGCCCACCAAGATTACAGACCTAATAGGTCAAAGGTCCCTGGGCTTAGCCAAACCAACTGAATCACCAAAGCCTTGATATCATCATGTGGCTGATAAAATGTAGTAAACAAACAACAAACACTTTCTATCCCATTCTTGCCCCTCCCACCCCCCCCCATACACACCTTTTATCAGGAATTCCAGGGCATCTTCCTTGAGGCCAGGATCTATACTTCGAAAGTGACTATGAGGGAAAGAAAGTGCAAGGGTTGAGACAGGAACCTGCAGAACCCATTCTAACAGATCAGATCTAACTTGAAGAACCTAATGGCGCCCTAACCGGTTTGGCTCATTGGATAGAGCGTCGGCCTGCGGACTGAAAGGTCCCAGGTTCGATTCCGGCCAAGGGCATGTACCTTGGTTGCAGGCACATCCCCAGTAGGAGGTGTGTAGGAGGCAGCTGATCGATGTTTCTTACTCTCTATCCCTCTCCTCTCTGTGAAAAATCAATAAAATCTATTTGAAAAAAAAAAAAAAAAAAAAAAAAAAAAGAACCTAATGGCTAAAAGTACATGTGAAATTGCTCAACTGAAAAAATATGGTGGCAAGTTGGTGTAAATGCTCATCAGTAGAGATATCAGCACCCAGAACAATTTTTTTAAAATGTATTTTTATTGATTTCAGAGAGGAAGGGAGAGGAAGAGAGAGAAACATCAATGATGAGAGAGAATCATTGATCGGTTGCTTCCTGCAAGCCCCACACTTGGGATCAAGCCTGTGACCCAGGCATTTGGCCTTGACCGGAATCGAACCTGAGACCTTTCAGTCCGCAGGCCGATGCTCTATCCACTGAGCCAAACCAGCTAGGATGCACCCAGAACAATTTATCAATGAACATAATTTAGAATTTCAGGACTAATATGCAAAGTTAGTTCAAACAGCCACCAGTTCTTTCTTTCTTTTTTTAAAAAAATAAATAAATAAATAAGTATTTATTTATTTATTTTAAATATATTTTATTGATTTTTTACAGAGAGGAAGGGAGAGGGATAGAGAGCTAGAAATATCAATGAGAGAGAAACATCAGTCAGCTGCCTCCTGCACACCTCCCACTGGGGATGTGCCCGCAACAAAGGTACATGCCCTTGACCGGAATCGAACCCGGGACCTTTCAGTCCGCAGCCCGATGCTCTATCCACTGAGCCAAACCAGTTAGGGCGCCACCAGTTCTTTCTTTACTTACTGTAGAATGCTG